GAGGCTTGCTAAGCCTGAAGCTTACTGTTTTGACTAGACTGACTGGCCAGCAGATTCCAGGGATCTGTTTATCTCTGCCTTTCCCATGCCCAGCACTAGGGACAGACACAATGCTTGTCTTTTATGAGGGTGCTGGTGATAGACCCCAGGTACTCATGCTTACATGGCAAACACTTGACCCATGGAGCCATCTTCCAAGCCCCAAGACTACAAACATCTTAAATGCTTCCCAGTACATATAAAGGTGAAAGATATTTATGCAAGTAAGCCAGTCCTTTTTAAAAAATGAACGCTCAGGTGTACGGAACACACTTCCTAGCCTCCCTTTGCCAATACGGTTCCCAAAAGGAACCTACAGTGCCACCGGGCACAGTGTTGAAGCAAGCTGGAAACCTGAACTAAGATTTCTTTCTTTTTCTGAGACAGGACTTCATTACAGAGCCAGCCTAGCCTTGAACTCACAACCCTCCTGCCTCAGTCTAGTATTCCTTTCAAGGCCTTAAACTAAGGCCAACTGTTACTTCGCCGTGTGTTCTACCTGCCATGCATTAACCTTCAAGTGGACAGCGGCGCAGGGAACGGCAGGTGTCACCTGTGCAGGTAGCTGGAGTATTGTGCCAACTTCTTGGCCAGTGAAATGGCATTCAACTCTAATTCTGCGATTCCCACTTCGCGTTGCTCCTGGGCCTCTAGTTCTTCCTCCTCCAGCTTTGGGAGAGTCTCTTGGTTAGTATAGTCAGGAAGCATTATGGTCAGCAAGTTGACCATCCACTTGATCATGGCTATATGCAATTCATCCATCTGTTAAAATGTCACAATCCAAACAACCATTTTAAAACAACCAAAGCCACATCCCATTTAAATAATAGAAGCAAGGAGGGGGGCTGGGGAAGATAACTCAGTCTTTACAGCTTGTAAGCGAGAGAGTTCAAATAAATGCCGGATGGGCATGCCTGCATACCTGTAATCCCAGACCTGGAAGGCGGAGAAGGGATCCCCAGAGCAAGCTGGCTAGCAAGACTAGTCATATAGGTCTGTTCTGAATTTGGGTGAGAGACCTTGTCTCAATGAATAAGGTAGAAGAGCCATTGAGGCCTTCACACACATGCTCACATGCACCTGCACACACATATGCATGAAACACACACACACAGCCACACACACCACTCATGTACACACGGAAAGAAAACAAAACAAACAAACAAAAAGGAATGCTCATCCCACGTCAAACTTTCAGCAACCCATAAATCTTAAAGAAATCAGACAATTACTTAGTTACTATAATCTTATTGTCTCACTATCTTGTGTTAAACTGGTTTTTGCTTCTTCAGCTTGACTAAGGGTGTTAAGTCACTAAAGTTCAAGTTTCCAAATTGTGCCCAAGGCACTCTAGTGCTCTACAAATAACTCAAAAGGACCCCCACAAGATCTTCAATGGAAGGAAGCAGTGATTAGGACATGTGCTATACACAGCATGAACGGGGCAGCCCACAGCTTCCTCATCAGATGCGTGTGTCACTTTTGATGACATTGTATCTTTTCAGAGTTTGCTGTTGATGGTTACGTGGAAAGACAGCATGAAATAGGAATGCGAATATTGATGTGCAGGAGGCACAGAGGTCCTTGTGTTCACAGAAGCACTGGAGGAACCGAGAATGTTAGAGCATGGGGCTGTTCCTTCAAGGGAAGGAATTCAGTACCTGTCATCCACCCAGAAGGCTGGGAGCAGACAAGCATTCTAGCCCGAGGATCTTTGTGCTATCTGAGTGATCAGAGGCCACGCTGGACCCTTCCCCAGACCCTCTCTCTCATCATGAGCTTGTTTATGTCAGTTCATCTATAGAACCTATCTTTATGGAAGGTGTCACGTGTACTTTACAGAGAGTTTTGATATAGTCCCATCTGACTTTTATTTAGCTGACTTTGTTCCTCAAAGAGATTTATGTGTGCTTTATTGGCACACAGGACTGAGTTAATTATCACAGAAAAGTTTTCTTCAAATTGTGCTGTGCTTAAATATGCCTAAAATAAACCGGTCAGGATCAGACTCCTGACATTTGAACCAACACTGGCTACTTAGTTATATTGAACCCAACTGCCTTCTTGCCTTTCTAAGGGGCACAGCCAAGGGAACACAGTCCTCAAATACCCGGCTCCCTTGCTTGGATTACCAAGCTCCCAATTGTCTCTAGGCTTCCACATCATCTATCAGCACTCTACTTTTTAAAGGTTTATTGTTTTATATGTGTGTGTACGTGGATATGCATGGAGGTGGTGAGGTGCCCTTGGAGTCCAGAAGCCATTTTGGACCCCCCTATTTGGAGTTATAAGCCATTGTGAGCTCACCAATGTGGGTACTGGGAATCTATCTCTGATCCTCTGCAAGAGCAGCAAGTTCTCTTAACCACTGAGCCATCTCCCCAGCTTCTAGGATTTTAGTTTCCACTGGCTTTAGGTTGTTCCCTTTCCCAGGATGCTATAGCACTTTCTAAATAGCTCTACTATTATTCACTTACACTCTAGCCACTCAATTTGCCTAGATGTCTCTTTAAGGCATAAGCCATTGTGTTTATTCCTTCATACCACATAGAGTCTTTAGCAGGGAGTAGCTACTCCATGCTTGTAGAATGGATAAAAAGTAAATAAATAGGGCTGGAGAGATGGCTCAGGGGTTAAGAGTGCTGACTCTTCTTCCAGAGGACCTGAGTTCAATTCCCAGCACCCACATGGCAGCTCACACCTGTCTGAAACTCCAGTTTCAGGGGACCCAGACACCCATGGCAAAAACACAAATGCACATAAAAATAAAATAAAATATATTTTAAAAAAAAGTAAATAAATAAAATGTGGTGGTCTACCCAGCTTCCTGCCTCTCAGTCAGAAGGAAAAGGCTGTGAATTACCCAAAGCAATGTTGGTTAATGTGTATTTCATACTTAATTTAATGCATCGGAACAAAAGGTAATCTTGCCTGAGGAAGAGTTAAAAAGGCTGCCACCTCTCTTACCCCCTTTCCATCTGCTCAGAGGTAAATGCATTCCTAATAGCTCTATCACATTCCAATGGTCTGGACGATACTGCCACTGAAATGGCCTATTTTTTTGCTTACCTAAAACATCAATCCATCTTTGAATCTCCCTATGAAATCAACATAAATGGATACTATTATCTTCATTTCCAAGTTATATGATAGAAATTAAATGGCAGAATCAAGGTCATGCAATTAGTCAGGTGAATTTAAAAATAAAACAAAAAATAAAAAGATTATCACTTATTTCCATGATTTTAAACAAATAGAAAATGAACATTATCATTGTTATACTAAACATATTGGCTGGGATTCTGATTCAGAGCTCTCAAGACAGAGGTCACCAAGGAGTGCGTGTTTCTCTTTTATGATCTGTGTTGTAGAATATTGGTTTAAGAAGTGTTATATTCGTTTATGCTGTACAATATTTGTTTAATGATGCAAAGATGTGTTG